TATCCATTGTGAGTGGTTTTGAACAATGATGTTGACCAAAAAGTTCATCATTTTTTAGTTTTAAATTCAGCTGTATAATCAAAAAACGCCGAGGAATATTAATTTGAAAAAATAATAAGATTATTTTTTACCTGTACGTCTTATTTTAAAGAAAAGCGCGCAGGCCACTGGATCAGATTGTGTATTTTAAGTCCCTTGGTCCGGTCATCGTATTCTGAAGCGAAACTGAAAGAGTCGCCGTTTACAAGATCGCAACTTACTCAAAAGCGGTTGTTAATTTTAAAAGTTTCGCACGAATAAAATGGGCTTTCTTTGATTATGTGTGAAAGATCAAAATTGAAGAAAAGGTACTTTGTCCACTGGTCCATCAGGAAAGCGTAAAGCATGGGTTGATGGAGCATACATGACCAACTAAATCTTATCTGATAAGGAATTTTAAGTGTGTAACCCTTTTTTCAGTCTTAAATGATCCAAATATACCAACATGTTTAAAACACTAATTGCAAGAATGCGTATCTCCCGATGAAATGTCGATTCTTAGTGCCAAAAACGCGAGTCTCGGCATTTCTGCCGTGTTTTCTAGAAGTTCGAGAAATTATTGAAACTGCTGAATGAGTTTGAAAAAACATCTTATCCTTGATATCCTCAGTATTTATTACCCTTCTTTCGACAATAAAGAGGAATGCAGACAGTTTTTGTACTCTCCTGAAAACTCGTGTTTTCCGAGATTCGCTTTACTGCACTTTCACCATCGATAAAGTGCTTTAGTATTGTTAGGTTAAGCTACCACCAAATTTTTTTAGTTTGAAGATCTTCTTTTACTACTTTAATTATATTAATTCCAAATAGTAGGGTTAAAAATAAAATTAAAGGAAAGTAAGAAGAAAAATGAGTGAAACTTTCAGTAAGAAATACTCAACAGTTTCCGAATAAATACCCAATGTATGTGTGGAAATTTCAGAACCTTAATCGAAATGTGGTTATGTTGTTTCGCCTGTAAGTCGACCATCCGTGCGTTTTGGGCCGCGCCCATGTGGTAAGTTTTCAAGCATCATGACTCAACAACCATCTGGCAAAATGTTTTATTATTACCGAAGCTTACTCGATCGTTCATGCAATAAGTTCCAAGAACTTTCCCCACTCAAAGTTGCGCGCTCTGATCTTGACGGTGCGGAAAACTTTATAGGGTAAAGTTTGGAAAAAAGTTCGAGTTGTTTCAATTAGTTACCTCTTATCCAGGAGAAGAGTTCACAATAATGCACTCGATGAATGAATCATTCGATATTGAAACCGCCCAAGTCGATTATCTGATGAGCCCCAGAATACAGGTACTCTTATGGAACTGAGGGCTCGTTAAATGGACCAGGGATGTTTTTATAACAAATATTCAAATATTCCCACCGTCCGTGGGGTCTGTGAAAGGATCCAGGAATCAGAGCTGGACTTCCGTCTGTAATTTCTTGAATTATATAAACCTATTTTAGAATTTTAGGAAATGATACGCTACATTTGATAAATTAGAAAAATCCTCGGTTCAAGTCCTCGTTTCTAAGTCAGTTTGAAAGCTTTTACCGGTTCTCTGTTTGGAACCCAAATAATATGGATATTTACTTCAGCTTATGAACAATAGGACTTTTTGTGGAATTCCTTTTCTGTAGATACATCGTTCTAATACCGTTCACTGAGGTGTAACTCGGTCTTCGAGAAAGATTTCATAAAGTTTTAGACCCTGGATGCATGGGCAAAAATAATAGAATTGGCTCGTCACTTGGTTACCCTGGTCTATCTTTAACTGTTCTCAAATGGAATTTTAACTTTTAGAAAATAAACATCCAGAAGAATAGCAAATTGGGGCAGCTCAACCAAAATATCATTTTGAATTTATTGCAGTGCGGTTTTGATGATCTAGCCATTAATTTGAAATACATCGACGAGTAAGGTATGAGGGTTGGGAAACAAAATTAGGTTAAGAAAAAGTAGCCTTTGATCAGAGATAGAGAGAAACTCGTTTCTGAAGTCAATTGAGAACCAAAGGCACTAGTTATGCTAAAAAATTGGCGTGAAAATACAGATATAAAAATTTTTTGCAAGTTAATTTCCGCCAGGATGGGAATGGTTCATAACCAAACAAAAAAAATTAAATAAATAAACTTTTATGTTTTTGAATGTGTTGATGAACACTACTTTTTGGTACCAGGGTCTTTCCGCGCCAACTGTGCCAGGCTGAACGAAAATATCTCAAGGACGTTCCGCGAAAATTACACGCTCACTCTCAACTGGAACATAGGCTACGAATAGGAAATTAATACAAGTTGTGCCCAGAACTGTTGCATCAGTCCCGTAGATCAGTCATTCCATTGATATTGTGCTTCGAACTTCATGCGACGTGAAAATCCAGTATCAAAGCTCGGCAGTTTTGAAAAAGCCTTCAATTGGAGCGTGATACCTCCCGCATTCCGGAGAGTACGAATAGTTGTATCATTGCGCCTTACTAATGTGACAAAAGATTAAAAATAAAGTAGCCGTCACGCTGACCTTGTCAGTATTCCTTTGACACGTGTTATATTATGCCACTTTAACTTTAATTTCACAGTCGATAAATCGATCTTAGCCAGAATGAATTATACAAGAGCTAAAAGTCCACAATAATGAAAATCACGGCGAAGACGCGTGGAAAAGCACATGCAACGCAACTGAAGCCAGACAATTCGAGTATCACTGGAACCAGTATCATTTTATATTCTATAGTAGACTGTACTGTGGCTGTTGTGATAAAGATTATTATTGGTGGAACTAATTTTTCTGTGACAGATAGGCAAATTACGTCCTTATTTAATTCTATAAATCACAAGCTTAGCGGTTTTAAAAACGCCTTCAATTGGAGCGTGATGCCTCCCGCATCCCGGAGAGTACAAATAGTTGTATCATTGCGCCTTACCAATGCGACGGAGGATTAAAAATAAAGTAGCCGCTTCACTGACATGCCGTTTTCCTGTGACGCATGTTATATTATGTCACTTTAACTATAGTTTCATCGTCGATAAATCGATCGTAGCCAAAATGCATTGCGCAAAAGCCAAAATACAACATATGTTACAATATGTTTTATTTAAAACAATTGATGCAAATACTAAAGTTATGTGAACGACTGAAGAGTAGACAATTATTGTTTTTAAATTAGCTCGAATGAATCATATAATCCTTATAACTAACGCTGTTCATATTCTAACAGATATAATAATTCATTCTAGTTTTCTGTTTAATTTTGAGTTGATGATGGTTGTTCGGATTTATTCATATGAGGCCAATTTTAAAAGGATTGATGCCAAAATTATTGATTTTTGTACCGGAGATTCTACTTGAACTTTTGGTAATCACATATGTAAAAATATGGTAGGTGTTTTTATTATGAAGACAATTATTATATTATATATTCTAATTTTTTTACATCGGAATTGATTCCGACTATTTTATTATAGCTAACTCACTTATTACTCCAGTGCATATTCAACCTGAATGATACCACTTGTTCTCATATGCGAGTTTACGTTCCGTCCCCAAGAAACTTGAGGGGCCGTGGCCTTGTTGCCGCATATCAGGATTGCCATAATGACAATCACGACGAAGACACGCGGAAAAACACATGCGACGCAACTGAAGCCAGACAATTCCAGTATCAAAGCTTGGCAGTTTTGAAAACGCCTTCAATTGGAGTGTGATACTTCCCGCTTCCCGGAGAGTACGAATAGTTGTATCATTGCGCCTTACCAATGCGACAGAGGATTAAAAATAAAGTAGACGCCACGTTAACCGTGTCAGTTTTCCTTAACTATAGTTTCACCGAGCACAGTGGACCGAGTCAATCAGAAAGGTCGGACATAACATTTTTGACGGAAATTGCAAAATTTGATATTTATTTTGTCACATTTTAAATTTTAAGGAGCGCTTCGAGACGAAAATTTCACGAGAAAACCAATGGAACCACTTTTAGAACTTCAAAATTGTGTATTATAGGAGTTATAAGCTCTTAAAGTTTCTAAATTTTGTCCGACTTTTCCTATTGACTCGATCCACTTACCGTCTATAGATCGTTTTTAGCCAGAATGCATTGCGCAAAAGCTAAAACGCCGCCATAATGACAATCACGACGAAGACACGCGGAAGAACATATGCGACGCAACTGAAGCCCATTAAAAAATGATCTTTACGATCATGAGTGAGTTTACCTCACTCGACAGAGCCTTCAGGTACGCGGGAATATTTAAGGAGTGCCCGACGCGACTCGCACGTCGCGCGACGCGGGAAAGTTCGGAAGTCGGCCGAGGGCCGGGAGCTTTTTGTGCGTGAGTCGCGATTTGATGGGAAAACTTCGCGACAAAAGAAACGCCGAAACTTCATACTTTCCAAGTTATTTCGGCTCAATGTCAAAGCAGATAATGATCCTTTGTAATGAGAGGCGGGAGTGCCTCGGAGAAAATTCATCACCGCGCGATCCCGTGGAAGGGGGGCCACTTAAAAACGGGCCGAGTTTGGCAAGTCCCAGATAAGGGCTTGATTTTTCCCACCTCCCGGACGAAATCTTCCCTTCGAATACGCCCGTGACTTCCTCCTGCTTATTAACTAATTACAGATCCACTCCAGGCGCGTCAGTCAGCCTCGAAAATGGATCACCGTCACTGAGGACAAGTAATTTAGACCTTAATCATCGTTTTGAATATTTTAAAATACGTACTGTGGGTCATTCTCTGGAAAGTATTCGTGGTATTTCTTTGGACTGCTCGTTTTCTTAGACAGCCATGTGTATTGCCTCAGCTCATGCATGGTTAATTTTTCGATTGAGTCAGGATTAAGGAGACCTTGAACATCGCATCATAATTCAAAACATTTTGGCAATTTTGTACATAAAAATAAGGGGAACGTGAACGAATGTGTTGGAAATTCATGTCAATAAACTGTCTTTAGCTTTGGCTCATTCGATGTTTCTTATTCTTCTGTTGCAGACACCACTTTCACGAAATGAACATCCGAAGGGTGGATTCAAATGAGTTCTTCTGAAGCATCTGGCTTCTGTGGAATGTGAGTAATTTTTCTTCATTTGCATGGATTATTGACAAACTAAAACAAATAAAGGAAGGATAGTTACTACTATTGTAGAATGATACACAAAAATATCCCGAAGAATTTAACGAAACAAGGCCTAAAAAATGGGAAAGCAAGGCAAAAATCAAACAAAATGCCAAGGAAGTTTTGAAGTGGTGTCCACCTTTTCTTAGACCAGGAAACAAAAAAAAAATAAAATCATGAAAATAAAAATAAAGAAAGTGAAAACCTCAGACCCCTTTTCGTGATATTCAGAAAGCGCTAGGCGTAGTTTTAGTTAGACTGTTGTAGTTGGCATAATGAACTGACCCATACCACGTTCGATTTGACTTGGCGCGTGAAAACTTGAATTTGACATCACATTCGACCTCAACTAATTGAAGTGCTGGGTGCAAAAAGGACATTTCTTGGTTACAGTGTCTCTAAATCTCAGACAACGTTTCATGCATTATTATTGAAGCAAATATGTATGTAATTTGTTGTAACTCTCACTGAATATGCTTCATGATTTTACAGTGCTGAAAATGTAAAATATCAGAAAATTGACGGAATAGTTTCCACTTTAAAATACAAATTAGCAATGGAGATTCCGAAACACCGAATCCAAGAAATGCTTTTTTTCGCACCCAACGCCTCAATTATTTAACTACTTTTTTTCATGAGTCTGATATAAACGCACTCAATTTCAAAAACATTAAATATAATGTGTCACATTATCGTTTGAAAGATTGCATAAAAAGTTTAATCGGCCCTATCTTTCCTTGCAACCTTACGTGCTCAGCCAAGCCCCATCACCAAAACCAGTCAGGCATCGAACGTCAACCTTTTTTTTGCGGACACATATGGAAACATAATCAATTCAAAACCCCCTCGACGCACTCAATTGCGCGAGGGTGAGCATTTATTACCTTTTTAATGTGCCCGCATGCGAGGCCTAAAAATGAGCGGGGGGGGGGGGGGGGGGGATATGTCACCCGCTCAAGTTTCAAAGAAGTCGTCGGGAACTCGGTCTCAAGTGGAACATTACCCGGCGGTACCCGAGAGAGATAAGGAAGTTGTTCGGGGAAAAGGCGCGCGTCAGGACTCAGGAGCAGGGCCTCAAATCCTGAGGAACACATAATTAGGGACGTGCGACAGGCGACCCGTTATGTTGAGGAAACGACACGTTGCTCGGATGTCGGAATAAACCATTTATCATGGAGATTTTTTCCCGACCGCAGCGTTCGTACCCGGAGACATGCGGCATGAGCTCCGGCTCCACGGTTGCAACGCCGCACAGTGGAGCGTGTCAAGCAGAGAGATCCGACATGAAATTTTTGACCAAAACTGTAAATTTTGATGTTTATTTCGTCACATTTTAAATTTCAAGGGGTGCTTTCAGTAGAAAATTTCACGAGAAAATCAATGGAACAACTTTTAGAACCTCAAAAATTGGTATAAACGGAGTTATGGGCATTTAAAGTTTCCAAATTTTGTCCGACTTCTCCTATTGCCTCGGTCCACTGTGCGCCGCACAGCGGATCGTGTCAAGCGGAGAGGTCGGACCAAAATTTGGAAACTTTAATAGCTCATAACTCCGTTTTTACAAAATTTTGAGGTCTTAAAAATGACCCCATTGGTTTTCTCGTAAAATTCTCCCTGGGGATCAACCCCCAAAATTGAAAATTTGACGGAGTAAACACCCAAATTTTCAGTTTCTGTCAACAATTTCATGTCCGACTTCTTTAATTGACGCGATCCACCGTGCGCCGCTTATTGAATAAGTAAACTAAGTTTGAGTACCTTAATAGAGAGACTGAGACGTGTCAAAGTTATTTTCATCGAGTTAAACACGGAAAAAAGAATCGCAATCCTAACTATACACTGGAAATAAAAACATATTGGATCTAGAGTCCAGACTTTTAAAAACATCGACAAGAAAAGGTACTATTGATTCAATCAGAATCTAGCTTAAATCAAGAACCAAGCCTCTTAATTTAAGCGAATTTCGTTTTGATTCAAGCAAAAATCCGATTGAATCAAGAGTATCTTTTCTTGTCAATGTTTTCAAGAGTTTGGATTCTAGATCCAATGTGTTTTTTTCCAGTGTACTCCTACAAGGGTGCCTACAAGTCCGGAATTTCCGGAAAGTTCGGAAATGGCACTGATTTTTTAAGGGCGGTCCGGAAGTACTGAAAAAATGCGGGAATTCCGCAAGAAGATCCGGAATTTTTTTCAATTTTTCGTCATTTTGCTTGTTATTCGAGCGGGAAAATCAAATTTGTGAAATTTTTCGAATTTCGTCAATTGGAGGTACCGAAAAAGTACTGAATTTTTCTATTGAGGAGGTACTGAATTTCTTGGGAATGTACTGAAAAAGTACTGATTTTTGGCCAGCCTACTTTAGTGGACACCCTGTTAGCTGATTTTGGTGCCAGATATTTGAGTAAATGCAAAGTCAAGGTATGGTTAAGTTAGCTGAAAGTGTGGTTGGATTAACTATACCGTGGCTGGTGCCTTTAGACTTCTAGCCAGTGCGACTACTCTTATGGCTGGCGCCAAAATCGGCTGGAATTATGGTTGAGATCGTGATACTTTTTTTTCAGTGCATCAACACCATCTAACCTCGTGATACGTGTTACGGGACATTCTCTCAAACCGTGTTCACTCCAAAATCTCTCATTTTCAAAAATGCCACCTGGCTCCTTTATCCGCTCCGTAATACTTTTAAATAGACCGCGCAAAGCAGAAAGGAACCAAGTCACATCAATCATTGCCAAAAATTGGACAATTTCATTTCTTATACGAACACGGTTTTGTGAATTTTTGTGCAATTTTCAGTGAATTTTTGTGCAATTTTCAGTGAATTTTTTGTTTAGTGCGAAGCCAATTCCTTAAAATTTTCGAAGGAATCCGCACAAACGTACTCTCGTGAAAAAGTAAATTTCCCAGTTAAATTAGGCAATAGCTAATGTGGCTTGGTTCCTTTCTGCGTATTGCGGTCCAAATTAATATACGCGGAGCTGAGAAATCAACAAAAATGATACAAATATTTTAACTCCCGGGTAGGTCAAATTACATCCTCAGCAAAATGAAGGTGCAACAGTGCCTTCGTGTGCTCCAAGCGTTTTCAGCGCATAATTTTGGCGAACAAACAAGTAAGCAGTGATCGATTCATACCCACTCGCTCATTATGACGTTTTTTTTTCCCAAATTAAATAACTCGTAGGCTCACCGTCAATAAAAGTTCGCATCAAGCTCACACACACATACACATTAGTTTCAAGGTAAACGGCATTAATTTTGATACTTAGAGCGGCCGGTTTCCATGTGGCCAAGCGCCTTTCATTTGATGGATGAGAAAATCTCTTTTTAATCTATGCCAGCCAAGCATTAAAATATCACCGTGAAAAGATTTATGTAAACGGCCCCTGCGTCGTTTAAAGTATTGGCAGTGATCCGACCAAATTATTTTTTGATAGGACTTAATGGCACACGTTAGGAAAGTTACAGGAGCTAAGGCCTGTGTCCACGGAAAGACTACCGGCCTGAGACCCTTCACACATACGTCAACTTATCGTGAGACGAGAAAAGCCATGTCAAATCTACTTTTTCGCGATATGAAATTGGAGCTCCTCGCCGTCATACGACTTTACAAACAGAATCGAGAACACAGGGACAAAGAGCCATAGCGAGTCGATTGTTGATCGTGATCTTAGCAATGGAGATTGTATCGATATCGATTGGTTCTACATGTAAACATAGCCTCAAAAGTTAATTGAGAAATCTGAGGAAACGGGTTTTTTTTGTGATACATTTTTGATACTTAAGAGTGCAAAGTGGCAATGAAGCGATACATTTTTAGGAATTTTCTCATTTTCAGTTTTTCCAACATAAATTCTGAAATTTTCGTCTGAGGCGATACATCGAACCACTATCGAATACGATCTATGCTATTCATTGATCAAGGGTTTTCGCTAACGATTCAACAATTTAAGCGCTGGATAAGATAGGTAATAAAATTTCACAAAACTTGCCTTTAATCTAAAGTTCGTGCCAAACGCATTTTTTTTTATTGTAAAATAACTTCATTTGACAGAATTCTTGCAATTTTATGCGATTTTTAAGAATGAGTGAAAAGAACTTACAAAATTTTTAATAAAGGAAAAAATTAGATTTACTTTAAAAAGATAAAACACAATTGGAGACTCGCAAAGTCACAATCTGAGGTACGCATTTTTTTTACTTCAGCCATCGATATATGTAAAACGATGGATAGATGTAAATTCATTTGATCCAATGAGTAAAGTTATTAACTAAACTTCTTTCGACACGTCTTTCCAAATATTCGCCGGGCTTATTTATTTTGGCGTTACAAGATGAAAAAAGCGACGGCTCAAAAGGAGCGAGTGTGAGATTACAAAATCTGCGAGTATAGAGGGACCATCCCTCGACTATAGAGGGATTCAAACGTCTGCACCATCCCTTAATGTGCCGAGGAGGGTGTTTTTGACGAGGACATTTCCGCCCTCAGCACTTTCTCATCCCTCGCCTACACTGCCGTGCTAAGGAAAAACGCCGTATGAATATCCGAGAGTTGCCAAATTTCCTCTCAGAAAATGGTTATTTTTGAAGATTGTTCCTTGGAATTTTCAGGAACTTTGGATAAAATCGCGAGCAAAATTATCTAAAAATTTGGTGGGCAAATATTTACGAATTATTCCGAAAATTTGTGATATACCAAAGGAAATGTGGCAACGCCTGAGGGTTTATACGGCGTTTTTCCGTAGCATGACGGTACAGTCCAACGCGCGATTTCTCGGCTTTTAGTAAGAGTCTCAGACTTTTTCCTCATTCGATAAGAGGCAGCTTCTATAAGTTATTTGAGGAGATGATGAAGAGGCGGCCATCTGGGAGCCGCCGACCTCTTTGCGCCTGAATTTTGTCAGCAATAAAGCAAGTGAGGTGGAAAAAGGAAAGAGGAGGTTTTCTAGTCG